CCATGTGCTGCAGAGATGACGTCATGAGTATAATAATCTTTTCGTTTTTTCCGTTTCAGAATAAAATAAAATAAATTAATAAGTAAATAAAATATTTTTATTTTCGTGAAAAATAAGTACATAAAGATTAAAAAAGATGAGATATTTATTTATTATTTATTTTAAAATTATTCGAATTTTAATTTAAAATAAAAATTTATATTTATATTGAAAATGTAAAAATAGAAACTAAAACGTGACTTTTTAAACCTTCCTTCGCCTTTCCTTTTTTTCGCTAAGGTGGATTGGATACACGTTTGCTTATTGGTTGCTAGTTATTATCTAACGATAACGACAATTATGACGGCGATAGTTGGGCAAACTTACAATAATTGCCGCCGTAAATGAAAAGTTACCGACCAAAATGTAATCATGTAACTCTTGAATAAATCCGTCGTCTCCTGCAGTCGGCAAATCCTAGCCAATCAAATTAGGGTTTACTATTAAATAAATCTCTCTCTCTCTCTCTCTGTTTTTTTCTGTTCCAGAATTTGGGCTCGGTGACGGAAAGGACGAGGCATATTTCAAGTTTGTGCGCGAATCTAATCCAAAAAAACTCATCACTGAAACAGGCTTCTTGCCGTTCCCCTTTGATTTACTAATCAAATGCACTGCTTCATGGCGGGTGTGTGCTAGATTCACGCACAAACTCGTAATCTGTCTTCGTCTGTTCTCTTCTTTCTTCCACTTTTGTTTTTCAGTTAAACCTTGGAGATAAATCGTGGATTATGAAGAAATCTGGACGGAATGTTGATGAACTGAGAACTAGCCGTGAAGCTTGCCTATGCAGCTTCGCGATTTCGATTTGGTACACTCTATTCAAATTTATTCCTTCGTTTTCTTAATTTATTAGCAGGGGACTAGGCGTTGATTGATTAAACAGGAGCTGAAAATTAGATTTTTTAAAGGTTATACTTTTTAATTATTCCATGATCATTGGGTATTGGATTGCAAAATGAATTGGATGATTAATTTATTGGAAGCATGGCGCAGAGGTAATTCTGCAGAATTTTATTTGCTTAAGTAAGCTTGTGAATTGTGGAAATCATGGCAGATATATTTGTTTAAATCTTACTCCTAGATAGTTCTGTAATGGATGGTAGGAGACAAAACGAAGGGAAGATGAGTCCGGTGTGGTAATAAAATATGAACAGGGAGAAATAGATTATAAAATAAGAATTTTGCTTTGAAGTCCACATTTAGATTGCAGTGGATTGCTCTTAGTTGAACAGAGTGATGAAAAACTATAAAGGCTGTTTCTGTTGAATAAATTTGTATGTTTTTTTATGTTTCCTGTTGTGGTAGTCTTATTAACTAATTTGTTTAAAAATGAAGCTGATAAGTATTGAATCTAATTTATAAAAATTTTACCTATTATTAGGTTGATGAGTGTTGAACCTAATTTATAAGAAACCTCAGAATTCAAAAAGTAATCGGCAGAGGACCAAGAAATTACTCGACCCCGTAGATCTGTAACAGTCACAATAGTATTGTTGAAACTTGCTTGAACATGAATAACTTCCTTTGGTATTTTAAAGTGTATTTTTACGTGAACCACTGTGTACGTTCTTACGAGAACCAACTCTTGGTATAAGGCTTTGCCATTGGATATATCCATTTCATGTCAAAACAGATTCTTTTTTATATGTTTATTGGTTCATTTATGGAAGTCCATTTTAGTTTTAGATTCATGGTTATTCTTGTGTTATGATTTGTTTATTTAAAAACTAGTTAGTTGGCTGAAAAATTCGAATTCAGTATCTATTCTTCTTCCCATATGAGTTTACTCTTATTTTACTCTTCTTCAATTCCAATGGTTTCCGACAATTTGTGTAATTCCTTTTGCATAGGTAATATAAGTAAGGATTGTGAAAATTCAGTAAGAAAATAATATAAAAAAATTGAGGCATGAAAATTGAAATTCCAAAATCCAAATTCCATCACCTTATGAGTTAAAAGTGTAAATTTACAGGTAGTCTAGAAAATTTCTCATTTTGGTCCAAAAATAGCCTTAAGAGAAGGTCAATTAAGAATATAAGTACTGGTTCCACTTGCCATTAAGAAGCATAACTTGATAGAAAAACAACATATCATTTGACGCAGTTTACAACAGGCTACGTAGCTCACCAGTTTCACTGCTTAATTCTTCTTGTCTTGCTCATCTTTCAATCTTCTTGCAATAGGTTCCAAATATTCTTCAAAGACTTTCAAGAGTTCTGGGAATAATTTCTTCGTTAAACTACTGTTATTAATGCGAGGTACGTAGTTCTTGAGAATCAGATATTGGCGTGCTTAGGAAATTCATAGCTGGAATCGTTTCCGGCTGCTGTTTAAGCAGGTTAATACTTATTTGACTTTTGGGGACCGTTGTTTGTATCTTTAAAATTCTGTTTGGGGTGAAAACCAACAGATTGGAAGGATTTAGGATTAAATTCTATTTTTTTCGAAACCATAACATTTACACGTTGGAAGATTTTAGAAATATCATAAATATATTAATATATTTATAAATGAACGGTTCTCTTTTGGTGCCAAAAATTCTTTTTTTTTTTTTTTGTTTCGAAACATAGCTTGGCCTCAGAAACTAGATGGTTGACAGGGGCCAGTATACACTTGCTGTATGTTCTTGAATCTGGATTCTTTATATCTTTTTCTTGCTTCAATCATGAGTTTTAAGAGGCTTCTGGTGTTCTGGAAAACCAACTTTGTATAGTGGGTATACAAACTTTGTAATGTGATATTGTATTTCTACTAGTAAAATCAATAAAATTTCATTCCATACGTATTGGTCAATCCGAAAATTTCTCAGTGATCTCTTCATATGGTAGTTAAGATGTGCTTCAGTGAGGACTTATCAGTCGTAGAAAGCTATGATATTGCTCAGGAAGCTTATGTTGAAGAACTCAGGTCTTCAACCTGTAGACTGAAACCGAAATCGGGCTGATGTACGTTATAAGATCCAAATCTAAATCCAAAAAAATCGAGTTATAGAATAATTTTTTTAAGTTAAAAAACAAATAAGTTTAAAATTATCAATATATATACAAACATATTTGAATATTATGTAATCATCTTATATATATATACATTAGTGGACTGGGGCAGTGCAGGACGGCCAGCCCAGAAACTGTCCAGCCCGTATAATTGTTATATATATATTATATAAATAGTTGACACCTGATAGATAATTAATGTAGAGTTAAAAAAACTTAGGGCAAATAAATAATTAAAAAATTAAAACTAATTTTTAAATTTATTATTATTATTATTACTATAATCCATAACTACAATATATTTTTCTCAACGGGTCGGTTTGTCCGTTTGGAAAATGCAACAGCAAAAAAAGCATCATGCACGAACATGTACGTGCCCATGCATCCATGCATGCGCCTATGCATCCATGCATGCATTCGCATATATATTATATGTTACACATGCATCATCTCATCAACATGTACATACAGAAAAGTGAAAACATGTATGTACAGGTGTGTTGAAAGGCTTAAAGGAGGAGGGTTAGTTTAATATGGTTGAAAAAAGCAGTTGGCAGTTTAAGTTAACTTTTGTTGCTATTGGACCGACCAGATACAAGATAAAATATTGTATTGTATATTTTATATATATTTAAAATCATCTTAAATTATCTTGTTGCTTAAGCAACTCCATTAATTGGGATTACTATTAATATTATCCCAATTGAAATAAGTAATTAATTATTAATTATGATTAATTAATCCTCTTAGGTGATGTAATTTCAGATACACGGTGGCAGTTTGCGGTCATGAAACGTGTACGCCACATGCTCTCTGCCCTTCAACTGACGACTAACCGGTACTTTAATTAATGTCCACCGTTTCAATTATTCTATGCACTCCCCTCTTTCTTCATTTTTAGGAAATTATATATATATTTTGTTACTGATTCAGGAAAAATTAAAAGTTGATAAAAAGAAAAACTAATTAAAAGGTTAAAATAGTTTTTGATGAGTGAAAAACTAATGTTTATTTGGGAAGAATTTTAGAAAATTTACAAATATAATTATTTATAATTTAATAAAGGATTCTATAATTTAAAAAATAAAAAAAGAATTAAAGACTCTAATAAACTCGTAAAAATAGTCAACTCTTTATGACGTCATATTTGGTTTAAATGTAGCGTGATTTTAATTCGTAATTAAATTAATTTTAATTCACATGTGCAATTATAAATCGTAAAATTAATTAATCTGGATTTAATATTTAACTGAAAATATTACTCATTTTATTCAAGTAAAACTTTTTTTTTTCAAATTTTAAATTTCTTGATTTTTGACACAAAAAGTATTGTACTTGAATTACTATTTAATTCACAGCTTCATTGTTATAAAAATAATTAAACCATAATTATTGGGTAATAACCTTTACTACCTTCCTCGTTGCCAAGCACAGAGATTCTTGAATTACTATTTAATCCCCGCTTTAATTATATAAAAAAATAATTAAATTCTTATTTTAATGGTTAGGAGTTGAATAGTTCAGATTCAACATGTTTAGTCAACTACATTTTTTTCCAACTTCCATAGTCAACTTTTTGCCGATCTTATTTCGTTGACTAGTGACATTCTAGTCGGTGTGTCCTAGTCTGGAATATGTATCATTCTCCTCCTTATAAAATATATATATATATATATATATATATATCTATCTCTAATCTAATTTATAATTTATTTTTTCAATATAGACTTTTATTGTTAATAATTATTTAATAGTTAATATCTCTCTCTCTTTTTTTTTTTTTTTTGTCTATAAATCATCATAAAATTGAGTTAAATTGTATTATAATATTTGTTTTTATTTAAAAATTATTTATAGAGTATCATAATGGGTAGGCTTATATATCACTTAATTTATTAATATATTAACTCTTGATTTTAAAAAATAATAATTAACATCAAATTCTCACAATTATTTCTGTAGTAGTGTATATAAATACATGGGGTGTAGAACAGGTACTGATTTATATCTATATATTTATATATTATTCTAAAATTTTTGGAGGGACATGACCTACTTAATTATTTTAAATGGTTAAAAAAACACAGGAAGCAACCAGAATCAACTTTCTGATCCACAATTCTTTGTACCAGCCGGTGCTAGAACCAACCATATGCTTAATTTTTCATTCTTTTATTATTTTAAAGGATAAGATGAATAAGAAATTGGGTTAATTTTAATAATTATAAAGTAATTGATGCAACATTTATGAAGTATGTTACATACATTTTGATTCAAATTATATCTCTAAAAGTATAAAAATATTATATAAGCAAAATTATGATTTGATAAAGATAGTACTATAAATTTAAGTTAATTTTATGTCCGTTTCAAATTAGTTTGTGTTTGTAATTTATTTTTAATTGTTGAAAATATAAATTTTATAATTATGAATACAAATAGACACGGTATAATTTGATTTAAATTTTACGATATTTTATAATAAAAAATATATTAATTATTAAAATAAATAGTAGTTAGTAAAATACCCACTAAAATTAAATAAGAATTCTCTCGATTTATATAAAACATGATCACAAGAATTTAGAGTATAGGTTGCTGTTTTAAAACAAGAAGGAATAAGAAACACTTTTTATTAACCAACATCAAGGTCAGTAGAGATTACAAACTAAGAAGCACACATCTTTTGTTCTTAATCTTTGGAACCACTTTATTAATAAGCAATTAAAAGTTAAATCAGAAGACAAACTCCAAATCAGAAACCCCGGCAGTCTCCTCCATCCATGGAAGGTTGAGGATGAGGCTACCATCATTTCCCCACTCAAAACCAATCTCCTCACCATTCAAGACACACGTCTTTGGACACTTACCCGAATACGCTAAGAACTTGCCTTTCCCCTTCACTTTCACTTTCAACTTCACCTTCACACCAACCTGATCATCACCCTCTCTAGATTCCACAAAATCTTCCATTCCTTGAATAGTTCCTACGCTGTTGAACATGTTAGTTAGGCCGATGGCTGCAAAATCGGTGTCTGGACCGAGTTTCTTGACGGGCACGAAACTGAAAATCTCGAATGTCGATGGCTGGAGAGTTAACGAAATGGGTTGGGATTTAGTGGTTATGGGCAAGAGTTGATCAGCTTGGTTGAGATAGACAATGTACTTGTCAGCCTTGGCCATGTGAGAAGCTTCAGCCTTTTGGTCCCATTCTATGTCTTTGACATGGACTGTGCCGGACACTGGCTTGTAGCATTCTGGGTAGCCTGTGATTCTAAGCTGCCTGTTGTCCCATCCGGCACCTTGGCAATTGAAAGCTCCAATTACACCTCCAAACTAGACCATACACAAACAACATCAATATTTAGATAGACTTACCCATTACATATATATATATATATATGTATATAAATTATTATAGAACTGTTTATATACCTTGTTGAAGTTGAAGATCTTGAGAATGGAGTTATTGTCAAAGAGAGGGTTCTTGAAGAGGCAATCCCTGGTTGGGAGGGCAAAATGTTGGCACCTTGGCACAGTGCCATCAGGGAAAACAAGCTGCTTGATCAGATCAAAATCATGGCTATTAAGAGAGTCACTTAAGTAGACAGGTCCGCCACAAATGGCTCGTGCACCAGCGTGATATTTGGCACAGACATGATCAGATTGGAACATATCCCAATCTGGTTGAATCATCTGGCCCATCCACAAACTGTTATATGCACAGTGGACCATATGAACACCTTGCAGCCAATACACTCCTTTAGGATCTCCATTTGGATCTTGGAACCAGAAATCATCGCCTAATCATAATTAACCCAATAATTAGATCAATAAAACGAGTTAAACCCATTTAAACATATGTCGAATTAAACGAACCTATAAATTAAAATAAGAAAAATGATTATCCAATGTTGTGGTTTAATTACCAACTCTTCCAAATGATATCTGTTTTGTCCCAAGGTAGAAAAAGTCATTGCACTGCTGCATGCTGGCTAGGACTCCAGTGCCATTGAAGTTCTTTGTCATAGACTTTGTCAGCCCATTGTAATAAGCCTTTGCTAATTCCACTCTGCCTCCAAATTCCTCAGACACATATTCAAGAGTCTGCTTGACCCAAAAAAGAAAATCGTCATATGATTAAAGATGACTATAAGTTATAAACTGGGTCAATTTCAAAACAAGGAAAAAAAATTTGAACTTACATGAATTACATCAACTTTTACTCCTGTAATACCAGCACTAGCAAGGTAAGAGTGCATAGAATCATAGAAGTCATCTGTCTGAGTGGGATGAACAAGGCCAATACCGCCTTCAATGATCTTTTCAACAGCGAGATCCGGCATGGTGTTATCGAGTCCCGGAGACAATTGACAAGGAATTATTCTAGAATGGAGATGGGTTGATCCAGGCCTAATTCCACCCCAAGCTCCACAAAGAGCATGCCACACATATATCTCATCCAAGCCTTTGAATTTCTTTCTCAAGTCTCTAGTAAATGCCTTGAGTCCAGACTCATCAGTTTTGCAAATACCATTTCCACTGCCTTTGTTATGATAATCACTAAACATTTCATTTAATTCTTTCTTCAACCTCTTCATCTTTGAATCTAACCAGGACACGTCAGCTCCGGATTGGAGTAACTTCTTGAATTCCTTACTAGCCTTCTCGATTTCTATAGCCTTATCGATCATCATCTTGGGCCTTTCCGGATCGAATTGTAGAGCATCAGGACCCAATAAAGATCCACTCTTGTAATTCCTGAACTTCTCACCTTCATCAAGCCTGTGAAGTCTGCCAGTCATCTGCTCTCCACCAAGAACTAGGCCTTTGGCGTCCCAGTCGGGAGAGTCAGAATCGAAATTGATGCTTTGCCAGCCGTCATCAATGATGAGAAACCTCGGGGTGACACCGCCTTTGACGAGCTCATTCAGTCCATGCCATATACCGGCTGGTTCAACCGTCAAGTAAAATGCATCCCAAGTGCACCACCCGAATTTATCAACTATGGGAGGCAGAGTTTTTTCTTCCAGGAGCTTGAAGGTGTTGAGATGGACTCTAATGGCGGCAAACGCTTCTTTCATCAAGGTGTATGGATTATCACAGACATGAACATAAGCTATGGTGGGAAAGGAAGAAGCTTTGACATGAGTAGAACCGCTTTCTACAGAGATCAGGACATGGCCGCCATTGCCGGGATGAAGAGATGACCTGAACTGACCGTCAATTATGGGTAAGATAAGGAGATAGGATCCTGTTTCAGGGACATCAAGGAGGACCCATTGAGTTTCTTTCTGCAAATCGGATCCACTCGTTCCGACCCACTGAGTAGACCACCATGTTTTGAACCTGAAAATACTTAAGAAATTTCTATTAAGGAATTTCCCCAGTGAGTTCGTCGTCATCTCGGAGGGTGAGTCTTTGGTGAGGCTGAAGAAGCCGCCTCTGGTAGAGGAGGATTGGACACGTTGCAGGATGGGAAGAGGAGCATCCCAGGATTTGCAGAGAGACAGGAATGATGAGAAAGTGACGTTAGTGGGAACATTGGAGAGAATTGGGACACCTTTGACATTGAATATCCCATTGGACAAATCAAAGCACTTTTCTGAAGAATCATGGTTGAGAAAATTAAGAGTTGAAATGGATGGATCATTAGGTGGAGCCATGAAGGAAAACAGATGAGAAAAAACCGTAGTTACACTGGTGCTTTTTTTTAAGAAAAAAATCAAAAGAAGAGAAAAATCCAAAATGGTCGGAAAATGGGAAATTTTCTACTGTTAAAGGAATCTGAGTAGTTATTATTATTATTTTTTTGTTCTTTCAGCTCAAGAACACAATTTTGCAACTTGAAACAGAGTTTTTCTGAAGAACTTTACAGGAACCAGACTTCAATGACGGAATTAGAAGTAAAACTTAACAGTCTACGATACAATTGAATGAACAGAAGAGATCAATACGAGCAAGAGGATTAATTGCAGAAACAAGAAGATCAATGAAAGGAAACCGAGCACTGAATCAAACAATCTGTGTGAAGAAGAGGAAATAGGAGATGTTTGGTTGCAGAGAAAGAAAAGGATTAATCACGTATATATAGGCAAAAAACTGGAAGTGGATGCGTGAGAAATTGAGTAAAAAATAGAATCAAGGAAGGTAATTACCAGATAGATAAGAATATTGGACGGTTGATAATGACGGTGGAACAAGTAGGTAGCATTTTATTATGCTCTGCTCTCTTTTGACGAAGAAGACAAAGCTTTATCCTGTTCAACCAACAAGGAGCACTGAAATTTGTCCTTTAGAGGGGAATTACAGGGGCAAAATAAATATGAAATTATAATTATAAAACTGAAGTATGTTATATACATATATATATATGGGTGTATATATGTTTATACGTGTGAGTAGCCAGCCATGCGTATGCATCTATGCATGCATGTCACCTGTAAAGAGATGAATGAGACATATGCATAGATGTTTCTCATTTACTGGATGAAAGTCGAAGAGTTTTAAGGTAAATTTTCCTCGGATTAAAGGAAAAAGGTGGCTCGAATAATCATGTAATATATAAGTTTTGTTTTTCTTTTGCCTTTTAATATCCAATATTATATACATGTATAAACATATATATGTATATATACACACACACACAGAGAGAGTTTGGTGATGAACTGCGGAGGGTGGTGGGACAGTATGATTTACGAGCTCCTGGAAAGTCCCTAATGGAAAATGACACCTTTCATTTGTTTAAGATCATTTTAATATTTGAAAAATATAATATATTTGATAGAAATTTTAATTTTTTTAATGATATCCATTGTGTGTGTGTGTGTCTGTGTGTGTGTATATATATATATATATATATATATATATATAATATACATATATGATTTTACGTGAAGCAGCAGAGGGATCAGGAAAGATCCAATGACCCCACTAATCGTGTTAATATATTATTATGCGTTTGAATATTGTTCAAACCAAATAGTCAACTTAATTGCTCTTTTTGTTGTTGTATATTATTTTAATTTTACACGAAATTAATTTTGGATGATGGTAAAAAAAAAAAAAAAAATCATAAACATAAACTTCTATATATGAAAAATCTATAATTATATCTATCTTACCATCAAATTTTACTTATCCTCTTTCTCTCTCGTATGTATATTTAGATCTTGCAAAGTATCAATTAATCGTATTTAAAGAATAAAATTAAGTACATACAAATATAGCACGAATTGCAAAAAAAAAAAAAATATTTTTTGTATCAAAATTTGATAATAATTTAGTGAAATCAAAGAATTTACATTCTTATATAATCTATATAATCTTACTATAAATTTATGTATCCGTATATATAAAAAAATTACACACACATATATATACATAAGAAGCTAAATGGTAAATGTTTTGCTAACGAATATATTATATATCATAGGACACACACACACACACACATATATACAGATACTAATGAATATAAATTGAAAATATATATATATATATATTTTTTTTTGCCACTTGATTGGATGATACATTTACAATTATATATGCACTTCTTTACTTTGCGTTTGGGGTATTTTGATGGTATCTCAAAGGTTAAATTTAGGTGGCTCCAAGGGCGAAATATTCTTTCACGTTTTGTTTTTTGTTTTTGTCTGTTGGGATTCTTATTTTTATGTAATCCTATTTTTGTAAGAGAGAAGAATTTAGAATCCGAGACTTCCCATGGAATAAGGCACTAAAGAATTTCAAGGTCATGCGTCCTTTAAAGTTATATAACAAGGAGCTACATGGGTGTGAAGATTGATTAGATGGGCTGTAATACATTTTAACTACCACGTTACTTAAATTTTCACATTATCCTTCTAGTTCTTGTATTAGTCTTTAATACATACATATTTAGATTGTTTTGAGTTACCAAATATCCTCAGCTTTAAATTTCTGGAAAATTAAGAACTTACTTCATTGCATCAAAGAACTCGAGATAGAATTGTTGTATTCTAAATCAAAGAAATTATATTTTACTTGTGAATAGTAAAATGCATATTGGAAATTAGACAAGGAAATGATTTATCCAAAAAAACTCATCACGAAACCACTTTCATAAAGCACTTACCCAGAAGTCTTGAGTCAGTTCTAGGTCCTACTGACTGACAGCTTGAGCTTTTGTTTTGCTCGGCACAGGAAGCTGGCCGTAGGAACCCTTCATTCAGTGCAGCCATGGATTGAGTCTAATGATAGATATCTCATAGAGCTGAGAGCATCGATGGACAAGGGTAAACAAGTACAAAGTTCAGTAAGTACTCCACCAAATGACTCTTGAGAAGAGAAAAAAATCCGGATATCCTTTTTCTTTTCCTCGCATTACAATAATGCATTATGCCAATTGTTCAATGGATTTCAAGCTTACAACTCTTCCGACCAAAACATGGATTATGGATCTACATTTGCTGATAAATGCATGCTCAATAAAACACAAGATCTACCCAATTAAACATGGAGAAAATACAACCATGGAATCCCATGTTTCGGGTCTACAAGGACTCCTTCCACAAATCAAAACATCATTTACTGTTTGAAGACAATGTGTGAATCACCTTCCCAAAAATTTGCAAGTTCGACAATACCATTTGAGACTGTATGACCAAAACAATGCACACTTCTGCATCATATCCGGCAAAATTATAGGAATGAATGATCAAATCACCATATAATCTAGTAGTGAAGAGTAGCATACTATAGACCGATGGATCAGACAAAAATATTGCCAAGGGCAGTGCCCCTGAAACCTAATGGTTGACTGCTGATGACTGTATGGAGACCTCAGGATATACAGAAGTGAGCATTATATCTTCACCCTGGTGTACATTGTAGCCACCACTGTAGATGCAGGTTACAGATTCTGTTTGTTTCATGAACACAAAAACGAGGTAGGAAAAGAGATAGAGAGGTTGTTGAACATGCAATATGCATTTTCATTGTTCAGGAAAAAACAGATGCTTTTGTTGATCAAGTGAATCAGCAAAGAAACCTAGAAAAGATTCTTATCAAAACATATAGGACTTATTCTCTTTAGACGAGATAAGCACTGTGATGTTTAACTTTTTAATAAAATTAGAAAGGAAAATATTGGATAATTCAAACAAAGATCAAAAGAAATTGAGAGCCTTCTCCCTTCCCCTCCCCTCCAAACAAACAAAGGCAATCCCGTCAAAACTTACACTATAGAATCAGAAACATAACACTAGGATTTATAATAACACAAGTGACAACAAGTTGAGCAAAAGAATAGGAAACCCTAACCAGAAAGGTCAGACAATGCAATGATGAAAACAAAAAAAAATTTCTTAATGTTGATCAAAATATAAACTGAAGCATGCCAGCTTATTAACAAATTTGGACAGAAAAAGATAGATATATCAGAGCTCAACAATTGTTAACAAGCCAAGGACAATAATAGCTTTCCCTCCTTTTAAATAAGAAAAATATCATCAGATCCCCACTTGCAGTCACCAACTAATCATATTACCATGGTTTCCCTTCCAAATGATTCAACAAGATAACATAATTTAGATGAAGAACATCCTCACAAGCACAAGCAACGTAACTTTTTGCAACAGCCAAAAAATCCTTCATTATACATTTCATTTGACTCAAGGTAATAGACTAAGCACTTCACTTTTTTGCAGTAAAAATAATAATGGAATAACATAATTATAGGATGATAATGCTTACTCAAACTATTGAACAATTGTAATTGCTGCAAAGCTGAAGTAATGCTGCTTGGTTTGCTTGTTCAAGGTTTTCACTGATAACCAAGGGGTACCTCCCAGGAGAAAGAGAAGAAAGTCTTGCCAAGGAAGCCACCAGGAACTCCTTAGGATCCTTTATATCCTTTAAAGGATCAACCTCATTTTTTCCAGCATTGTAAAGATTAACAAAGGCAGCTGTATACCCCACATTTTCTGCAATATCTGGCACTTCTGGTTCCTCCTCAAGTCTGTCCTGCTCAGGTTGTGAGAGAAGGGTAACGATGCTACCAAGCATCTTCCCCCAATGTCTAGCAGCAGAAGCATCCAGGAGGGCTGGAGATTCGCAGATGAGCTTGGTGGATGCAACAGCAGCTAACTTAAGCTCAACAGTGCCAGTGATCAGCTTAAGATTAGGTATCCAAAACTGCTCCATAATCACAAAAAAGATATTGGGCTGAACGGCATTCATTGTCTCTATGAGGTTTGCAGGACCATGCTTGACCAAGAAAAGTGACATAAAAATGATAAGAGACTTCTGGAACTTTACTGTGCGGTGATTTTGGAGACGTGTGAAAAGGGCATTCCAGATATGACGTATATAAGGAGATATGACATTAAATTCAAGATTCTCAATAACAGTGTTGAGGACATAGAAACCCTGTTCATCTGTGCTTGGAGATGAAACAAGCATGTTGAATATCCCCAGCACCTGACTCAGCCTACCCTCTTGATTGAGCTCATGAGGTGCTTTTTGAAGGAAGGCCTGCAGCAGACGAACAAGAGCTGGCACGTTGGAACTTCTCTTCCATGAGTCAGGTGATAGAAGAAGCACAAATATCTGCATATAGTTTGCTGAGAGAGGAGGCCTGTTCAATTCTACAAGCTGCGCCAATAGCTGGAACGCATATGGCAGAAACTCAGTCACATCATTGGCCAAAATCATCTGGAGGCTAGGGAAAAGACTTCCTTCAAAGGCTGATATTAGAGAAATATCCTTCTGGCACGCCCGCCTGACAAGTAATGCCACTGACTCAAAAAGGTAGTGATTAAAAATAGGATTTTTGGGATTGCTGCAAACTCTATTTAGAACAGAGGTCAACTGAGTGATGCAAGGTCCAGCAACTTCGCTAGAAATGCTTGCAACCCCCAGGACCCGCATTATACACTTCATTATGTATTGATTCTCCTCAGACTCTTGAAAATTCACGGCACCAAAAAGGTTATCATCAAGACTGGCAAGCACGGAGTTATATCTTCTGAAGTATATCTTGCTTTCCCTCCCTCATCCTTGACAAGCAATAATTTTTCTA